TCTGTGCACACAGTCTGAGTCGCTCGCCGCTCTGAACGCAGTAGATTACGGTCAGATCACCCAGACGCAGCCGCTGCACAGTCTACGTCAGATTTAACACTGAAAGATGACCGATATAATACGGCACCATTTCAGCCACAGCCAGACTCTGACTCAAGTCACACTAGTTTAATCTTGACTCAGACTGGCCCTCAACTGATTCCAGACTTACTCAGATTGGCCCTCAGCTTATTTGTGGCTTGACTTCGACTCTCCCTCAGACTGGCAGCCCATTCAACTGACTTGCAAACTCTGCTCTGACTCTCCCACAACTGACTCACATTCGACTTTCCCTTAAGTGACGTTTGATTTGACTCTTACTATATCTCAACTGACTCACGACTCGACTCTCCCTAAAGTGACTGTTGATTTGACTCTTACTATATCTCGACTGACTCACGACTCGACTCTCCCTAAAGTGACTGTTGATTTGGCTCTTACAAGATCTCAACTGATTCAGTTCGGACTCTCCCTCAACTGACTCGCAACTTAGACAGGCAGTTATGACCATTTAGACTGGCCCTCAACTGACTTGTGATTTGGTTCAGACTGGCCCTCAACTGACTCATGACTCACCTGAACCTAACCTGACTCGCGACTCGGACTGGCCCTCCACTAACTTACAAACTCTGCTCTGATTCTCCCTGAACTGACTCGTGACTTAACTCTCCCTTAAGTGACTTTTGACTTGACTCTTATTAGATCTCAACTGACTTGCGACTTGACTTGGACTAAACCTAAACTGACTTGCAACTCGACTCAGACTGGCCCTTAAACTGACTTATGACTTGACTGAACCTAAACTGACTCACGAATCAGACTGGCCTTCCACTTGGACTGGCTCTCCACAGACTTGCAAACTCTGCTCTGACTCTCCCACAACTGACTTGCAACTCAACTGTCCCTTAAGTGACTTTTGACTCAACTGATGATCTCAACTGATTTGTGACTGAACTCAGACTGGCCCTCAACTGACTTGTGACTTCACTGGGACTGAACCTAAACTGACTCATAACTCAGACTGGCCTTCCACTTGGACTGGCTCTGCACTGACTCTTAAACTCAGATCTGACTCTTCCTCAGCTGACTTACGACTCAGACTAGACATTAACTGGCTTGTGACTCAGACAGAGACTGGCCCACAACTGACTCGCAAACTCAGCTCTGACTTTGCCCTTAAGTGGCTTTTGACTTGACTCTGACTCTCACTCAACTGACTCGTGACTTGACTCTCCCTTAAGTAACTTTTGATTTGACTCTTTCTAGATCTCAACTGACTCATGACTCAACTTGGACTGGCCCTCAAGGGACTCACATACTCAAATCTGACTCTCCCTCAGCTGACTCGCAACTCAGACTCGACCTTAACTGACTCACGACTCAGACACAGACTGGCTCTCAACTGACTCACAAACCCAGCACTGACTCTCCCTCAAGTGACTCGCTACTCGATTCTCCCTTAAGTGACTACTGACTCAACTCTGACCTGACCTCAACTGACTCATGACTCCATTCTCCCTAAAGTGTGCCAGTGATGGCACTTTGTCATAAAAATCAATTAAAAAATAACTGACTTAATAATAAGAAATAAATATCAGAAGTTTTCAAACAGTAAACAATATTAATTAAGCCTCTCACAAAGCAGCTTCATCTATTTTTTGCCCCTTTCCTCTAGAAAAACAAAGTTCACTCCCCTAAAGTTTTAACGGTCCCCTTGCGAGTGACCAGCATATGGTATAAAACAAGCTTATGTTGGGCTATTCTGTCCACCGATGCACATTGCATACTGCAGCATCCACACATCGCTTTGTTAAAGGGTCATTCTACAAATACGTCCACTTTCCTATCTCTCCATAGGAGTCACTGGTGTCACTGATCCTCATTGGTGTTACACATAATAAAGGAACACCAGAGACATTTTTAATGAAAAATGCATTTTACCAAATGTCTGCTACAGAACATCAAACCACATGTTGTCAATCATGGAATATCCACTAAAATATGAAATTTAATCCATTTGTATTCTATTTTTTCAGTTACCTCAGAATAAAGTCAGTCACACCAGTGACGTCAGCTAAAAGCTTCATATGAAATCATGAGCTGAATGAGAAAATCTCTGATAACTGAAAGACTCAGTGGACTCACCATGAGCTTTTCTTCATAGATCCTCAGAAAACAGGTAAAAGGAAGTCAAGTGATGTCATCAGTGTGACTTTTATTTCAAAATAAGAGATTTTTTGTTATGCAGTAACACCAGTGACACAACTCCTGGGGACAACAGCTTTCATTATATATTTTATAATTTATTATAATGATTATAATAATATATAATATAGTTTATTTGGCATTGATATATTCCATAGTCATGTATAGATTAGTGTAGTTAAATTGCAGAAAAACGTTTTTTTCTTCAAAATATGGCCTCAGCCTTCACACATGACTGTAGGGACGAGCTCTTCTGTGGTGCTTGGAATTCTAGATGATTGATTTAAAAACCAATATTGCTACATTGATGGCTGAAGAAGGTGTAATTGTTAAAATAACTTGTTTTATTGTTTTATTTAAAAATGTAAAACAAATTGTAACCCTAACATGTTTAGTGTAATATGTCTGTAAACGCTAAGGACACAAAAATGGACGTTTCTGTAGAATGACCCTAAAACAAATCCCAAAACTGTCATTTTTAAGCAAAAAAAAAAGTTGAGTTTGTTTTCCTGTGGGTCTGCATGCTTTCTTCCGATAAATAAGTGGATATTGAGGCGGTAAACGGTGAGAATCCTTGTACTAAAATATACACCAACATAAGGGCTGTAAACATAATTAGTGATTCTGGAGCTCCAGACAAACATTTCCGCTTCAGCTCAGTCGCATCCGCGCTGATGTTCAGATGATGGATGCAAGATGCAAGAAGTGATACTTCAGTGGTTTTAAAGAAATATCGGCTCGTCGCTGCTGCACAGCCTGTTCTCATCCAAATTCTCTTAAAAAGAAACAATAAAAGACGACTGAAGAGGCTGAAGGCCTGTTCTACTAGTCAATACTTTTCTAAGGAGATTATACAAGCTGTGCGGGCACAATAGAATGTCTGTATCAGTGATGGTTGACCTTAAAGTAGATGAATTTAGTAGAAAGACTGTTTGGATACTTTTGGACAGACAGTGCAGGTCCACACCAATTGAATTGAGTCTACACTTTATAAAGTGTTAGTAAAGCGAAGTGGACACTACATGAGTTTTAAAATCTCAGAATAGCTGCACTGCTGTACCACATTATCTCCTGTAGCCTGTTTGCAGACATAGCGGAGTGTAGACTACAGGGGGTTCTCAACCTTTTCCACCCCAAGGCCCACCTGTTTATAATTACACAGCATTGCGGCCCACAGGAAAACTAAAATCATTTTTTTTTAAATACAGCTTTATTTATTATTTATTTATTATTGCATGGCTCGTCTGTTGTTTTTAACAGCAGCTTGTGCTCAATGTCTAAAGAGTCAGTTGTTAATACAGTCGTTATGCTGACTCTATGGCGCAAACGTGCTGCTAGAAGAGAAGGAAAGCCAGCTTTTGTTACGGGACAGCAGGGAGGCGGACCCAAGTGCACAGAGGAAAATCCGTGAGAAAGGGTCTTAAATGAATATAATGAGGTGATGGGGTGTGAATTGAGTGACTGTGCACGTTGGGGTGGCTCAGAGCCAGGCTCAAAACACCAATGTACTGTTTGGCGGTCTGAGAAGTTACCACTGTGTCACTGGGAAGCCAGGCAAAAACGGGAAAAACACCTCAATGAATGGGAATAACAACAACGGGGGGAAAGGGCAAATAAAGGGGATGCTGAAAGCAGCGCCCTTAAACAAAGGCTGGACTAGAAAAATGAAATAAAAGATAATCAGAAAACAAAAGACACTTCCTCTGTGATCATGAGAGGAAGATCAGCTTTATGTTCCGCCTGTTTGCTCTTTGTGGAACAAACACTTTTTGTATGGCTTGGAGACGTTTCTTGTTTAAGCCTTTTAAGCCTCTTTTGGCTTTTAAGTAGTTTGGAGGTTAGGGACCCAGCCTTGTGACCGGAAGGTTGCTGGTTCAATCCCCTGAACCGACAGTATGTGTGACTGAAGTGCCCTAGAGCAAGGCACCTAACCCCCCCAACTGCTCCCTGGGTGCTGTGGATAGGGCTGCCCACCGCTCCGGGCAAGTGTGCTCACTGTCCCCTAGTGTGTGTGTTCACTAGAGTGTATGTGGTGTTTCACTGCATGGATGGGTTAAATGTGGAGGTCTAATCCCTCTGTGCGCAAACACAGTTGGCCAATTGTTCTGAATTCAGGTACAGTCAGGTTAAAGCAACACTATGTAAGATTTAAGGATTTGGAGCCCTCTCTGGTGGAAATATGCAACTGCACGCATCAGGTGAAAGAACATTTTGTAATGTTGGACCTCCACAAGTGGATGAATCTGACTTTTGAGAGTGTGTTGAAAGAGAACTCAGTCAAAACTTGGTGAAGGGCGCGTCTTTTGAGGATGTGGGTGAATTATCTACTACTGTCATCATATCTTCATCAGTACAATTGTTGATTTTGAGATCATTAGAGGCCTAAACATCGAGCCGGACCTTCGTTTTGAGTCTGTGCATGTTGTGTGCTGCTTTAAATGGAGATAAGTAAGAAATGTCCTCTGAAACTGCTGAGGTCAGGACCTTGGTGCGAAGCTTTATTCATTTTAATCTTTCCTTCCATGTCAATCAGCTTTTTAAATATTTAACCAATAATTTTCTTAAGTGATTGATTTTCTTCAGATATTACAAAAACTCTTTTACTGACTAGTTCTCTGAAAAGAATCTGCCAAACGCCTCAACACGATCATTCTCTGGCCCAAAAACACTCTTACATAAGTGTCCCTTAAATGCAGATAAACAGTTAAGACCTGTTATGATGCACTATTATGTAGTATAAAGTTAACTGTACTTGCCTATGTTGGGGTGCTTGAGCAGTCGACAGATCCGAGCCTCTCTGTCCAACTTCTGATGATCTGAAACACAAACACTCACCAGTTACCATACAGAGGATCTAAACCATTTCAGTATTCACACCATTACAGTGTACAAACAGTGTGTGCAGAATTTCAGCCAAATTCCATGTTTTGTTGACTTTCTAAGTGAAAATAACTGAACATATCCTCCTCAGAGAACACACTTCTGCACTTTTAATACACAATAACTGTTCATATGCTAAATTTAACATAAAGGAAAAAATAAAACAAAATGTAGTTCAGTTTATTTTGTCCAATATGTTAAACAAATAAATAGAAAATACAGAATTGTGCACCAAAATCGGCAGAAAAATGCTGCTATGTTTATTAAGTTTGTGTCTGTGGAGCAGTGGTGACCATCTCTCCTCCTGGAGATCGACTTTCCTGCAGAGTTATCCCCAGCCTGGATCTAACACGCTGCCCTTATTAGTTAACAGTGAGTGTGTTTACACGTACTTAATAATCCGATCACAATCAGATGTCTGAAGTTATCTGATTATTCAAATGTTCATGTAAAGAGCATGCTCTGATTTCTTAGATCGGAGTGAGGTCTAGAAATCCGATTAAGAAATCTGATAAAGGATAAAGCTGGAGTTTAGCTCAGTAATCAGATCTCTCAGTGCTGTAAACTCTTACTCTGATTTCTTTCAGATTTCTCAGTCTGAGCATGTGTGAAAACAGACAACGGTACCAGAAGTAAGCGAGCAAAACACTTTTGGAGCGACGCTGAAACCAAATACATGCTTGACAAAATGAAGGATTTAAATATTCTTCATCTTCTGGATGATGTATGTTTATATTTTCAGGTGAAGATGTTCGATGTTTAAAAAAAAGCTGCGTCATGAAGTTTTACGTTACATTTACATCACGTCTTCTTCTGTGAGCTTACTGGCCGGTTGCAAAGCAGAAATCTGATTACTGTCTGACTCATGCAGACCTGGAGTTTTCACATTATCTGATTACTCAAGTGCATGTAAAAGCGTTGATCGGATTACTGACAGAAATCAGATTTTTGCAGTTATCGGATTATTAAGTGCATGGAAATGTATCACTCACTGACACATCAGATCAGATGAATGACTACTGAAGACGTTAATTAGCTGGAGTGGGTGTGTCAGAGTTGGAACCTGACTCTGCAGGAAAGTAGAACTTAGTTTCACTTAGAAAAACCTGGAATTTGACCGGGGTGTTCAAACTTTTTGCAAACGTCTTTATGAAAATGTAAAGCTGTACAGCTGATTCGCCCTTCATATCTCGTGAGAGTGTCTCTCATTTGTCATTTTTCACCGAATTCACTTTCCATGATCAACACAATGCAACCTATCAGAGTAAAGTGTGTGAGGAGGGGCAGGGCTTATGGTCCAGACACACCCACACTCAAAAGACAGGGCTTTTTTCTGATTATAAATTGTAGAGATTGTGATTTTTGGGGTTTATTTTGTTAGAAAGTGGTGCAGTGTCAAAAAAATGGAATACACAGTATCTTTATGCATCGTAGGCCCATCACCAGAAAAACTCACGTCTCGCCAGACTTTCAGCACGTGCTGTGCAGTCTGCCGCTGAGCCCAGCCAAGATTTGAGTTGACATGTATAACGTATAAAATGACTTATCACAGTTTACAGAGGGTTTAACACTGTGTGAGCCAGACCTGCTACATCAGGTGACAGTTAAAAGTCTGTTTAGCCGTGATGTCAGATGCAGGACCACAGCATTCTGTTTAATTACTGTGACGTATGAATATCGGGGAGCTGAACAGGTTCTGCTGTTCACCTGTGGAAGTGGGAAGCTGTGCCTCTGGCTGCAGTAATGAACTAATCCTGCAGTCAGAACTAACCCTGTAGTAATAGCGCTGTTAGCCTGCGCTGAAGGAGACCGTTCACAGAATGTTCAGCACAATCCTCTCCACACACGAAGCAAAGCTTAAACATTACAGCTGACCTGCAGTGACCCATCAGACCAGCCTGCTGTTTGTTACTATTATTAACCCTTTTATGTCACAGTTATATCATACAGTCATACCAGCCATGCTGTGAAATATTTCTGACTGAAATGAGTGGAGAAATTGTGTGGAAAGTGCTGATTCTAAACTTTCAGTCCAGACCACATTCGTGTTTGTGGGCAGAAGAGGAGATATTTTAATATGATTTGAATTTGATAAAAGGTTATTGTTGTGTATGTTTTGCAGAAATAAAAAAATCCTTTACGTTTTACTGTTTGTCATTTTTTGACAGAAAAAAGTCAGACCTGCCCATTCAGAAAATAAACATAAATACAATTCATTAAGGAACTAATTAAGGTGAGGGTTAGGATTAGGTTTTGGGTTGAGGTTAAGGTCAACAATTTTGTAAATGTAAATGTATTGGAAAATGAGAGTAACATGAAATGAATAGCTTCTGTACACAGAAACATTCTGTACTGCAGTTAAAGAGAGAAACATAAACTCCAACACGCAACAAGACGCCTACACCACATGAACAAATAAATAAATAAATAAATAGCTTTTAATTTCTGGCTAGTTCTGCATGTGATTTATCATTTAGCCCTGAGAGAGAGAGAAAGAGAGAGAGAGAGAGAGAGAGAGAGAGAGGCTGGGGGGGGATACAGGAGAGAGAGAGCGAAATGGGAGAGATTATCGGAAAAAAGAAAGACAGCACAAGAGAAAAGGAGAAAGAAGAAGAAAGTTGGAGAGAAAGCAAGCGACAGAGTGAAGAAGAGAGTAATAGAAAAGAGAAAGAGAAAAGAGAGAGAGAGGAAGAGGAAGAGATAAAGGAGAGAGAAATGGGAGAGAGCGATGGAAAAAAGAGAGACAGCACAAGAGAAAGAGAGAAAGAAGAGAGAGAAGAGAGAGAGTCAGAAAGTTCGAGAGAAAGCAAGCAACAGAGAGATAATGAAAAAAGAATGGAAATAAAAGAGAGACAGAGAAAAAGAGGAAGAGATAAAGGAGAAGGTGATGAAAAAGAGAGAAAAGGAGAATGACAGAGTGATAGTGGAAACGGGAGAGAATGAAAAAGAAAAAAGAGATGAGAGAGAGTAATAGAAAAAAGAGAAAGAGAGAGAGAGGGTGAAAGGAGAGAGAGGGGTAGAAAGAGAGAGAGAGAGGGAGAGAGAGAGAAAGAGAGAGAGGGTGAAAGGAGAGAAAGGGGTATAGAGAGAGAGAGGGGGGTGGTGGGTAGAGAGAGAGAGAAGGAGAAATGAGAGAGAGGGGTAGAGAGAGAGAGAGAGAGGGTGAAAGGAGAGAGAGAGAGGGTGAAAGGAGAGAAAGAGGGTAGAGAGAGAAAGAGAGAGGCGTAGAGAGAGAGAGAGAGAGAGAGAGAGAGGAAGAAAGGAGAGAGAGGGGAAGAGAGAGAGAGGGGGTAGAGAGAGAGAGAGAGAGAGAGAGAGAGAGGGAGAAAGGAGAGAGGGGGTAGAGAGAGAGAGAGAGAGAGAGAGATGAAATCGGTGTGTGATTAGTGAGATGGTGAATCGTTATGTGGATTCTTTTCTCTCCTCTATTGAGCTGCTGTGTGTAATCTGTTATCGTCCCCGTCTCCCACTCCGCAGCATCATGACACACACTGAACTCTGGAAAAGCTGTTGCTAGGCAACACTGCGGACTACGCCAGGAATAGAATTATAAAATATATAGACAGAAAAAAAACCTGCACAGAAAAATAAAAAGATCACATCGAATAATGTCGGCTGTGGCTCTCAGTATATCCTGCCACGGACCACAGCGATCACGGTAAATAAAAACCTGCCGTGGCCACCGGAGGGGATTAAACTCTGTCATCATACTCAGATTATCAGACTCAGGCGGGGGGCTCTTTGGTTTTGGTTAAATCCACCTGAATGAAAAAGATCCTCACAGTTTAGACTTGAATGTACAGCTGGGTGTGACACCACACCTCTAGGGGGTGCTGTCACAAAAACATTCATCATTCTGCACACTGTAAAGCCAGTCATTTCCACCACAGTGTGCACACGACGTTCAGGATCCGGAACCCACAGAACCAGCTGTGCGCGAGTTCACACGTCATTCAAACGTTGTTCAAATGTCTTTGTAAAACAATGGTTTTACATAGAACCATGCGTTCTATATAGAACCATTTGCATACTTAAATAATTCTTTGCATAGTGAAATCATTCTTTAAATTAATGGAGAATGTGTTTTATACGGTTCTATATAGAACCTTTCTGAAAATAGTTACTATATAGCACCAAAACATAGCTTTGATATTGTGTATGACATTAAGCTTGTAACAATAAAAGAATCTTTTTTGATGCTATATAGAACCATTTTTAAAAAGGTTCTATACAGAACCATATGCAACACATTCTCCATTAATCTAAAGAACCATATCATAGTACAAAGAACCCTTTAAGTGTTCATGGTTCCATATAGAACCACTGTCTTTACTAAAAAACCTTTGAAGAAGCAATTTTTTAAGAGTTTACAATGTCAAGCTTGTAACAATCAAAGAAGCTATTTGGTGCTATGTAAAACCATTTCAAAAAGGTTCTATAAAGAACCATATCCAACACATTCTCAATCTGAAGAACGCTTTTACCATGCATACTTAAAAAAGGTGGTTCTTCAAGGGTTCTTTAGTAAAAAATGATTCTATATAGAACCATTTACACTCATACATACATCATCTAAACCGCTTATCCTTCTGGGTCACGGTGGGGTGCTGGAGCCTATCCCAGCTGTCATTGGGCGGAAGGCAGGATACACCCTGAACGGGTCGCCAGTCCATCACAGGGCAGACAGACAGATATATACAATCACACACATTCACACCTAGGGGCAATTCAGCATGTCTAATCAGCCTGAGTGCATGTTTTTGGACTGTGGGAGGAAACCGGAGTACCCGGAGGAAACCCACGCAGACACGGGGAGAACATGCAAACTCCACTCAGAAAGGACCCTGGTCACCCGGCCGGGAATCGAGCCCAGGCCCTTCTTGCTGTTTACACTTTGCCCCATTTACACTAGCAAAACGTTCTTTGGCTTGTAACA